TAAAAAAACTAATTAAAAAAAAAAAAAAAAGAATGAAAATACAAAAAATGTACAAAACTTTAAAATCAGAATAGAATATATACAAATAACAAAAAATTCTAAATGTTAATAAAAAGCTATATCTCAATACTAAAATGACAGACAGACACACACACACACATATATATATATATAGTATATATAGTATAGTATTTTTAATAATATATAATAATAATATTTTTTTTTTGGTATTTTCTTTTTGGTGAAATATGTGTGGGAAGAATTCTGAAGGTACAACAATAAAATTAAAAATACACATCTGATGGCTTTCCACTATAAAGCAAAAGTAATGCTTTTAATATTTTGGCCTAGCTTTTATTTTTATATTATCATTTATAATTTACTTTTGTCATTTTTATAGGTTTTTTTCCTCCTAAATATTTCTATTTAGATTTAAGTGATTTTTTTTTTGTTTTAGTCATTTTCAACTTCAGTTTATTTTATTTCAGTTAGTTGCAAACACATCATTTCTAATTTTCATTTAAGTTTTTTGTTTTTCATCTAATATGTATATCTTATTGCGGCTTTATTTCAATTAATGAAAATGTTTTTTAATAGTTTTAGTTCTCAATAACAACACTGATTTAAACCATGCAGTAATTTCCAATTTGTTAAAAATCATAATAATAAAACGAACTAAATTTTAAATGTTTTGTGCACACAAGCTGTTTAAAGCATATCCAACCTGCCCTGGTTGTCCTGTATATTTGGATTGGCTCCTCGTTCCAAAAGGAAGGCACAAAGTTCGACTCTGCTCATCTGGGCACCCAGAATCAATGGAGTTGACCCATCCTACGAGAATACAATAAGTTAAACCTTTTAAAATTACATTTTCAACTCACTGTACTCAACATTTGGCAGATACTTCTTAGTGTCCCTATGGATACATGCATACTAATAAAAAGTATATCCTGAATGTCACTTCAGATCAAAATCCAAATCTACTGCCAAATGTACAAATATAAATAATTGTTGTGTTCAATTGAACTTACTCCATCTTGAGCATCAAGGTTGGCTTTAAAGTCCCACAGAATCTCAGTGCAGGACAAGCAGCCACTTACAGCTGCACAAAGACAAAGACAGAATAACATCTGAACCAACAACAGCCTCGTGTTAACGTCCAAATGCAATGTTCAAACGTTTGAATACTGGAAGAGTTTTTATTACCAGCATGGTGTAAGGACGTCCTCCCAAAATTGTCTGTGGCATCAACAGGCATCCTTTCCTACAGAATGAACATTATAACTATACTACTTCAGCATCAAATCAGCATTGGCTCTTTCTAGGACTCTGGGACTGTAATTCATGACTCCTACCTGAAGAAGCCTCTTTAGACAATCTGACTGTCCATTCTTAGCAGCAAGATGGAGAGCATTAAACCCTACAGAGAGAAATTACTAAATCACTTTGAGACCTACAGTATAAGAACTTTTATTAGTAAAACTAGTACACTAAACCTTACCAGTGCCGTCTGTTACATTGACGTCCACCCCATGAGAGAGGATGACCTCCAGACAGTCCAACCGTCCTCGAGACGCACAAAGATGGAACCTGTGAATTCAGCAATTTCTTTCATTGTTTATGTGCTATTTGTTATCAAGTAATTAAATATATTTACAATATTTTTGGCAAGACTATGTCATAAGCTGAAATCAGAGGTCCACTCACGCTGATTTGCCCTCCGAGTCCAGTTTGGACGGGCAGAGACCTTTCTTCACCAGCAGCGTGGCAACTTTTTCTGGATCATTCTGTTCTACAGCCTGCAACAATCTGTCATCTGTCTTACTCCAGTCCTGACTCTAAAAACACAGAGAAACAAATACACAAAACACATTATATTGACACAAACACATATTTTTTCAATATTATACTTTCCATCTTTGACCAAAATCTACTGTATAACTTATAAATCGTGAAATTCTTCAAATAACATAAAATAATTTTCTTAATCAGTGTTTTTAAAAGTTTTAAAACAAGATAAATTTACTTTTAAATTAACAAGATTAATACATTTTTTTATTAAAAAAACAAAAAACTATTTCTGAAATGGCATGTTGTCTCATTACCACTAGATGTCAGTGTAAGTCTAAGACCAATGTCACATCATCCAAAACAACAAAATATTTACAGATACAGATATAGCAGCACCAAATTAAGAATTTGGTCCCACTACTAATTATTTTGTAACCACATTCCCTTATTTTAGTCAAATTGTGACGGCGTTGTACAAATTCGTTCCCCTTTTTTAGGTACATCGCAACCATGTTTTACTAACTAGTTCCCTCGTTTTAGTTAAATCATGAAAATGTTGTATTAACTTGTACTCTGTTTTCTTTAAATCGCAACCACCTTGTACAAATTTGTTCCCTTGTTTTAGTTAAATCATGACTATGACAAATTCAAGTTGAATTGTGAACACACTGAACAAATTAGTTCCCTCATTTTACTTAAATTGTGACCACATTAAATCGTGACCATGTTGTACAAATTCGTTCCTTTTTTCGTTAAATCGTGATCATGTTTTACTAACTCGTTCATTCCTTTAAGTTAATCTGTGAGCACATTTTTCAAATTCATTTTCTCGTTTTAGTTACATTGCGACCACATTAAATTGCGACCATGTTGTACTAATTTGTTCCCATATTTTAATTAAATTGTACACATTGTACAAATTCATTCCCTCATTTTAGTTAAGCGACCATGTTTTACTAACTCGTTTATTCAAGTTAAATTGTGAGCACATTTACAAATTAATTTTATTGTTAGTTACCCTGCAACCACAATAAATCGCGACCGTGTTGTGCTAATTTGGTCCTTTATTTTAGTTCAGTTGTGACCACATTGTACAAATTTGTTTGCTCATTTTAGTTAAATCACGACCACATTAAATCGTGACCATGTTGTACAAATTCGTTCCCTTGTTTTAGTGAAATCATGACCATTTTTACTAACTTGTACATGTTTAAGTTAAATTGTGACCACATTTTACAAATTCGTTCCCTCGTTTTAGTTAAATCGTGACCACATTAAATCACAACCATGCTGTACAAATTCATTCCCTCGTTTTAGTTAAATCGTGACCACACTGAAAAACATTCTCTTGTTTTAGTTAAATCATGACGGTCTTGTACTTATTAATTCCCTTGTTTTAATCTGATTATGGAACATATTATTATAACATAGCCACAATTGACCTAAAACAAACAAATTTATAAGTTGTAGGAACTAATTCTTCATTCATGGCCACAATTTCTGTTTTTTTTTTGTTTTGCACAACTTAAGTAATTTTGCTCATGTTTTCTTGCTACATTCTGCTACATTTATCTTGTTTTAAGGTTTTTACTGATATTTTTACTAAAAAAAACATAACCGCTCCATGTGTTCTGTATACCCGCACAAGGAGGGGCTGTACATACCGTAATCACGCCGTAACACATGCAGAAGCTTTTCATTGGGCTAAAGATGACATGAGGATCCATAGAGCTCAGAGGACGTATGAAACTTCTGCTTCTTTCCACGACCCATCCACGCTATGTGCTCTCAACAACGACAATAAATACTTTCGCAAAAAAGTTCAAATGAACTGAACCTGAACACGACCACTCCTCATGCTACCAAAGCCCTCATAAAACAGCCAAGGTTATGACTTTGTATCTAATCTGTCTGTAAGATGAAGGCCTAAATGCTACTAAATACGTAACTCAGATTATATATCCGATTGCTGAAATCTATCCTGCAAATGCAGCTTTGTCGTGTGCAACTCTTGCTACGCCGTCCTGTTCTGCTGTCTGCAGAGATATACGACACACACTGCAGTCACTGCCTGGCACACACACACACACCTCCCTGTCCCGTTGTCCTTCTTTTTTACTCTCTATCCCAATTCTGTCTCACTTCTCTGCAACCACCATATATTTTACCGTCCACACTGTTCCCTACGTCTCACGTCTCGGCTAATCGTTCTCTGATCCCAAAGCATCAGGGGGTGAGAACTCAGCAAACACAACAGCGAAATACACAGTCAGCAATCAGACTAAATGGAGGTATAAAAATACACACAGTTTGGGTTCTGCAACCCCTCCCAGTGTCTAGTAGTGCACAGTAGTGTATCACTTTTATGCTAAGTCAGTCTGATTGAATCACTTCCTGTGATGCCATACAGATGCTGTAGAATAACAATATTGTGGTTTTTAGTCAATGTCTGTTAGCTTTGAGGTCATTTATATGCTAATGCACTCTTAAAAGTTGCCAAAACTAGCTTTTAGCAAATATTGGCATGTTGATACAGTTTTCTTGTTATAAATATTGATGACTCATCTTTTTCACATAAAAGGCGTAGCAATATTTTTGTATGATGAAATGCTCTTTTGAACTTCACTTTTAGAGGAGAACTGGGCCGGTTGGTTAAAAATGTTTTACTTCTGTAATGTGACATGTTTCGAGTTAAACATTCAGCAATAAAATTCTAAACCTCATGTAAGATTTGACTGGATCATGACAACTTGTCTCCAATTTTGCAATAAGTAAAAAATAAATAAATAAATCAGTGTTATTGCTTATTAACACTAAAAATATTAACATGTTTTTGTCAATGCTAAAAATGCTGAAATTAAATAAAATATAAATATAAGATAGAGAACTTTAACTTTAAAGAACTTGAGTGAAAATTTTAAAGTGTATATATATATATATATACTAGCCTATACTAAAATTACACTGTCTGTTATCATTACTGTGACTTGCAAAAAACAATTAATAATTTATATTTATATTTATTTTAAGTATTTATATTTATTATGATTTATATGTATTTATTTTAGATGCTTATGTTTGTTATTTATGTATTATTATTACACAGATTTTTTATAATTAATTATGTATTTCTTTTTATATAATACATACATTGCATTATATTGTAGCTATTGTGAAACACCATTTTTATGTTTATATTTGCTATTTATATGCTATTTACGTGTGACGCAGCTGACATAGAATAGCATACGCTGTTTACGTTCAGTGGATACTCTCCAAAAAGAGCATACGCGGTTTACGTTCAGTGGATATTCTCCAAAAAAGCGCTATAGGGTGACGCGGAGGAGACGAATTGTTGAATAAAGTCTTTATTATTGTTTTCTTTGCGCACAAAGAGTATTCTCGTAGCTTCGTAAAATTACGGTTGAACCCCTGATGTCACATGGATTATTTTACCGATCTCCTTGCTACGTTTCTGAGCCTTGATCGTGGTAGTTACATTGCTGTCTATGGGAGGGTCAGAGAACTCTCGGAATTCATCAAAAATATCTTAATTTGTGTTTCGAAGATGAACGGAGGTCTTACGGGTTTAGAACGACATGAGGGTGAGTAATTAATGACAGAATTTTCTTTTTTTTTGGGGTGAACTATCCCTTTAAGACAAATAAAACTTTTCTAACACACATATATCTTTCTTTGACTTTATGACCCCACCAACAGCAAGACAGTAGGTGGACATCTAACCCAGACATGAAGTTTGGTTAGAATAATAACAGAGAAAACATCCAGCTCACTTTCTCTCCCCTACAGTGGCTTATCTATCTGTCCATCCCAACACAACCTCAGACAGGGAAAAACACACACGCTTCATGCAGAATACTAGGATGGTGTATTTCGCCTTCACACAGTGGGCTCAGATCCAATAACATAATGTGTTATGAATATTAGTGAAGATGAAGGTCCATAAAAGCATCTAACAATGAAGAGCGCAGAATACATCATATACTGAGTCTGCAAGTGTGAGTGAGTGATTGAATGTGTTGTGTTTCAATAATTGAACACTGGTAGAGGTCTCTGGTTACAGGCGCCGTCTGCAGGCTGGCCTGCTCTTCTACTGCTAAAACACGTTTGCTCATACAAAGCAACAAGTCACCAAAATACTCAAGATATCTAACAACCTGGATACTATATATAACAGTTTTGGAAACATAATGGCTCATATTAATAGTCAAACAAACTTAAGTAAGAAGACTAGGCTAGTACACTTAGCACGTGACAGGTTCTTACCTCTGACTTCTTGAACTTTGCTTTTAATGTTTTCATCTTGTTTTAAAGTATGTTCATGAGCTGTAATGAATAAAACACATTTGATGTACATTAGGAAATTAAAATATATACTGTTTTACAAACACGTGCCTCATGAAAGTCTCATACAATGTGAATAACTACAGAAGTTTCTGTGATTAATGTGTTCAATAAGTCTGGCATTAAATCGAAAGCAACTTTGCGTCGTTGTTTATTTTGTATAATTATTTATTTTGAATAATCATTCTTGCTCTAAGCACACGTTTGATGGAGACTCAACACTAGACATTAAATGAAACAAGATAAACGCAAAATGACTTACATTCAGTGTTTGATTGTATTCTTTGGCTTTCCTCAGGTCTGCTGTATGGATGTCCTGTGGTGGGATGCCCTGACTTCATTTGCAGAATACACGCCTGTTGGACTCGGCTGACTGGGCACAAAATCCGACCAATCAGCGGCGAGGGGCGGGCAGTAGAGTCTTGATTGACAGATCCGCGCACCGCATGTTTCAAACTTCAGGTGTCATGTGCGCTTTACCGAGACGTGCCTTTTTTTTTACTGATATAAAACAGTGTTAAATAATACAATAAGAGGCTGACTTAATTATGTAAGATATAAAAATGCTACAAAAATAAATATAAGCCAATCAGATAAAAGTTTAAAAGCCCAACAGCCAATCAGTGCTTCTGTAGAGCGCGCGTATCACCTGGCGTGTCTCAAATATTGCTTTGCATTCACAGGAAATACTCATTTGGAGCAGATATGATTATTTTCTTTAGCTGGTGAGTGTTATACTATGTTTTAATTCACTTACTCACCCATTGTATTATCGATTATATAGTTATTTAAAAGTGCATATAAACCACTGTAATTATGTTAGTAGTACTGTAAGATATATTGTTAAAAAACATACATATTAAAATTAGTGAGGAGAGAGTACACGTGGATATTATGTGGCACATATGTAGCGAGTCAGATGTGGCAATACATATGAGTGACCACTTGGGGGCGATAAATACTAAGCGCATGTTCAGATTGGCTTTTCAAACATTCTTACAGTGCAATTCAATAGGACATATAAAATCCAATGTATATATGCAATATATATTATATATGTATTAAAATGTCATATATATTACGTTATGTATTTTACATATACAATAATGTGAAATAACTTGAATTATACAACAATGTATATAAAATTCAAAAAATAAATATAATAATAATAAAATAAATAAAACCGTTACAAAGGACCTGAAAATGCAATATCTATCATTTTAAAATGCATTTAAAAATATAAACTGTAATTTCATATATATTTTTAATTTATAGTCTAATATTTAATTGAATATGTTTAAAATATTTAATTATCGTATTACTTCTCATTTTTTAGAAGAAGTAATACATATTGTGTGTGTAAAAGTGACTTTTATTCCAGATTTACTTTTCATAAATCAAAAATTGGGATTAGCCTCAGATTTTAAAAAAGCATTTGCCCTGCTAAAGCATTAATATAAAAAAAATTATATAGTCTAAATCTATACATGAATATAGAAACAGTTTGAGAGTGTTTACTGGTACAAAAATGCACATTTAAACGTAAAATGTTCAAATCATATATTAACCTTTTTCCTATTCCCTTCTGTCTCTCTTTAGAAAAGAGCAATTTCCCTGTCTGAACTGGTGTTTTCTTTGTCCCAGGAGGCCCTTCCTCTCTCTAACATGTCCCCGTTTGAAAGGGGCAATTTAGAAAAGTGAGGGGAAGATGTGTGTCGACGCTGGCTGGGGATGGAGGGGGAGGTGGATGGCGTCTGCTATGACCTCATCCTTCCCTCCATGTGGGAGAAAGAGAGAGTGAGATCATGGCTGTCGTAAAAACAGCTTCTTTATATAGTGAGGTTTTCAAGGTTCACGTTTTAACGGCATGGAAAAAAAAAAAAAAATATATATATATATATATATATATGCTGACAATCTCATCTGCTTCTTTGTTTGAATTCAATTAGCATCTGAAGCACATTAAGACATCTGTATGAGAGGACGGCAACCGCAAGCTAGCAGCACAGATGTGCGTTTGTTATTTGTTGTGTGTTGTAAACGATTAGCCCTGGGCCTCAGTTTTATGACTTTCTACCTCCGTGTTCAGTCTCCAAATGTGTAGCTGAGGAGGATTCTGGTGTGCAAAACATCTACACACCTTCACATTCACATCTTTAACACTTTGGTGAGTCTGTCAGATTCATGTGAGACTGTTAATTAAAGCAGATCACAGGTGTGAAAACTGTGAGGAGCTGTTTTTCCTTAATCAGAATCTCATTTACTAGCTCTATCTATCTATCTATCTATCTATCTATCTATCTATCTATCTATCGTATGTCCATTCATCCATCCATCATCTATCTATCCATCCATCTATTGTATGTCCATCCATCCATCCATCTACCTATCTATCTATCTATCTATCGTATGTCCATCCATCCATCTATCTATCCATCTATCTATCCATCCATCCATCTATCTATCTATTGTATGTCCATCCATCTATCTATCTATCTATCTATCTATCTATCTATCTATCTATCTATCTATCTATCTATCTATCTATCTATCTATTCGTCCATCCATTGTTCTATCTATCCTCACTGATTGGGATAAAATGTTAACATTTTATTGTCTACATTTACATTTGTTGATTATAGTGTTTGAAGGGGAAAATGTGGATTAAAAGCACTCTTAAAGTTCTGTTTATTTAAAGTTTGCTTTTTAGCTATCAATTAATCAAACAAATAGATTAATAGTTGACAATAGTTGCAGCATTACGGCAGTTCGGGGCTAGTTGTCACACTGGGAGTTGCTATAAGGACCATATTTCAGTAAAAAAGGGTTTTAAGTTAGAAGTCCAGTTAAATTATGCTATAAGCCTATAAGAGTCTGTTTAATGGCTACTTTCACAACTTACCCCATTAGAATTAAAAAAATAAACCAACTATAGCCTATTCACTGGAGTGAATGTTTTAATTTGTTTATTTATTTAATGCTGTTAACAGTAATGGATCTTAAACTGTGCCAACATAATACACCTACAATAAGCATATTTTCAGATCTGTGCCATACAGCTTCTAATAATGATCGGCTAAAGGGAAAATACAGCACCGCTGGATGTGAAGACCTCCCCTTTAAACGCTACAGCTCTCTCGCTCGGTCTCTCTCCCTCTCACTCACTTACAGCCAGACGCGTTCAGACGAGCTTTGCTGTTCTTCTCATATTCTTCTCGTCTGTTCTGCAGAGCGCGTTCTTCATCACATTACTGGCGCCTGCGTTGTTGTTCTCGTGCAACATTGTAACATTCGCGAGAACCGCGTCTGGAGTTCCACGATCATTTAACGCTGAAATTAAAAACGTGAGTATCACAACTTGGTCTCATCAGCAGCTTTTAATTTGATCTCAAATCATCAGCCGTGGTATTTTAGATGAAGTGTTTATCATGTCAGCTGTGAAATGTTTAACGTTGACTGAAAGTGCGACTGTCCATCGCAGACTCGCGTTCACCTTTAGTTTACAATAGAAGTTCTCAGCTGTTATCTTACAGAGTTGTTCATTTTCATTTGTTCTTAATCGAAATTTAATGTTAATGTTCAGGTTTTTGTGATATAATGTATTCTTATGGTCGAATTGAAATGGTTTATTGTGCGCATCAGAAGCACGTGCGAATCCTCTAGTTTGTTTGCTTTCGTTCTTAAACAGCTTGTTGCAGCTGCTCCTCTTTGAAGCAGTTTTACTATCTACCAAAGTAAAAAGCTCATCCATATGTCTATCTATCTATCTATCTATGTATGGTATTTAGCAGTTCATCTCTAATAATTTTCTGACAGGTCTGTGGTAGGACATCATATTGATTAGAAGAGTGTTCATACATTTATATTGAAAAAATGCTTCTCAAAATGAGCATTCTCAAAAATGCACATTTTTTTCTTTCCATCACATGTATTTTTCTTATTCCTGAATGTTTATTTCTGCTGTTGCAGAGGTGTTGAGAACATCAAGGTCTTTGCTGTCTATGGACCACCTGTATATCCAAGTCGGTATATCCAGGGATCGACCTTGTTTGAGGACCACAGTTGTGCCTTTGAACTGAAACATGAATTCAGTGCATTATTCCCAAGGTATTCTATATATGGTAAACATATAATCTCAAACACATTCTAGATCCCTGACCTCATTATAGGTCACCATTGGACTCTTTAAGGACCATTGGAGTCTTTGTGTCCTTCACTGTTGGACATTCACGAACAGAATAGAATGGCAAAGTGGTTAAAGGACTATTTAAGTTTCGGGAGCAAACGAGTTCCCCCGCAACCGCCAAAACCAGACTACAGCGAGAGTGAGATATTGAAGGCGTATCGTGCACAGAAGAACCTTGACTTTGAAGACCCTTATGAAGACTTTGAGAACAGAGCTAGAAATGACAACGGGTCAACTGAAACGTCCCACATGGGCTTCGGCTCTCCTCTGAAATCCTCGAGTCTGGATATCAAGGTTGTGTCACCAAAACATCGCCTCATAAAAGTGGACTCGCAAGACCTGGGACGGAGCAAGATTCTCCTAAGCTCCGTGTCTTTAGAGGAACCAACAGATCCGGTGAGTGATTTACAACAGTGGTTCTCAAACCTGTCCTGGAGGACCCCTAGCCCTGCACATTTTGTATGTGCATTTTGTACATACAGTGCAAACAAAGTAACTGCATTCAAGTATGCCATAAACATAATGCGTAAAACACACTGAGCATGTCCAAACATCTATTCAATGAACATACACATTATTGTAATATCAACAACAATAGTTTTGTAAAATCTTGTCATCATTTGGCATGAAGGGGGATGAAAATGTAACTCAAACAATGTTCCGAGGACACTAGTTTCAGTTTTCCCCAATGTCCAGTGCATCCAAACGGATCTCGCCTATAGTACGGTTGCAAAAATGGAACCCGCCACAAATGCCAACTCAAAGACGCGTGTTTGTGTAATCTCACCAAAAGCACCAGGGACAACTAAAGCTCCTGTAGGGGTCAGACGCTACTGCTGTACCAGAGTGTCCCTCGAATTGCACAGTGAAGTCATCCGAGGAAGAAAAACATTTCGATTTGGAAATAAAATAGGTAAAACGCAAGGGAAATGCCATTACAAACCTGATTCAACTCATCAGCTCGTCAGTAGAGACTGCAAGGCATGAATTGGTGTCTGAGGCCATGTCCACACGTACACGGGTATTTTTATAAACTGAGTTTTTCCTTCTTCCTTTTTAAAAAAAATCTCCGTCCACATGAAAACGCAAACGCATGCTATGAAGCACTGTCAAGAGCATGCCAAATCAACAGGTAGCGATATAATCTCAACCGTAAAACAATGTTGGCCAATCAGAAGCCTGAAAAAGTTTCCAGTAGGCAGAGATAACAGCACAGGCTCCGACTTCAAAAGCCAAAAACTCCGGTTTTGCTGTCTACACGATAACACTGCAACTGGAGTTTTTGAAAATCTTCACCCTGGCAGACGTTTTCAAAAATGTTCAGTTTCAGTGAACTGGTGCTGCGTTTGCATGTGGACGAACGGCCTAACCGCGTAGAAAAAGCTACGGTTTTAAAAATAACTGCGTTCGTGTGGACAGGGCCTGATAAGGGAGACATACAAAATGTGCAGGGCTAGAGGTCCTCCAGGACAGGGTTGAGAACCCCTGATTTACAATACTTCAGTAAAAAAAGCCAATATTTGTCTATTTTGATATTATCTGCCTTGGACGAGTAACGTAAGTCTATGAGTAACAAATAACAAAGTTGTAAATTTTCCTGTTTTCGAATCATTTTGAATGAATTTTGCATAAATATTGTGTGAAATGTTAAAGTTGACATTTTTCTTGATGTTAAACCAACCAACCAACCTGTGCTCAACCAATGGTGTGATTTTTGGAGTAGAGTTTTCTTGCAAAATAGTCTTTGTTATAGTTACAACTTTGAATATATTTTTAGTGTATATGTGGAAAAAATTGTATATACATAAACTCAATATACACCACTTACTGTGTTTTAAAACGCTAAGTAGTTGTAGATCTGAGGAATTTTGGTGATACCTGAAGCCATCAGGTGATGAAATACATAAAACAAACTGTCAAACAAGTGATTTGCGGTGTGAAATAATCTTTCATGTAAACTCTCTGTTAACCCTGCATTAGATTTCGTGTCTCGGAGCACCGTAGGTGTCAAAACCCCTTGATCCACCACAGCTGAAGCTCTTGAATAATACATGGAATTTAGCTAGGCTGGTGGGGTTCGGGTGGTCCCATAGAGAATACTCACAAGAGCCAGGAAGGTTCGTCCTGTGATCAGACATTGAATAAAGACTCAATACTGGAAGACAGCGGAGGAATCCGCACACACACACATGGCCACAGACAGATAGCAGCCTTCAGTGGAGTCTCATTGATTGTAATCAGTACCAGTGATGAGCGAGCTGATTGGTTGGGCTTGAAGAACGGCCATGCCAATGCCGCGCCATCGATTTAAATCCCAATTTAATGGCGACCCTCTAAGTGCATTGTCTTGCGAGCACCGTTACGCATCATTCCCTGTTAACCTTCATTAATTTCCACCATAATCCTAATTAAGTTTTTATAGCGTTTCTAATGAACATTTCAGATTTATTGTCCTTGTATTCTTGTTAAAGATCAGCCAGACAATTGGGCGATTTGCCTGGTGGGAAATTGGGAGATTGTTGCACGCACGGAGCCGTTGGCTAAAGCCCTTGTTTGAGAGACCATATGGCCATCTTTGTAATTGTCCCAGTGCCAACTGATTGAGGGCTTCCTCCCGGGCCTGGTATGGGAGACAAACGCACCTCCTAACATGCTCATCAACACTTCCCCACTGCTGCCTCCTCCTTCACGGGAAAAGGTAGCACATCTTTGCAAGTGTGCTGGTTTTCAATGTCTTGCGCTGTATGAGGTGGTGTTGCTGAATGTACACGTTTGAAAGTATGTGAAGACACAAGGGCTGCATGATTTAGGGGGAGGAAAATTGATATTTTCTGATTTTAAAACTGCTATTTTATTTTTATTTGTATTTTTTAAGGTCCAGGTATGCTGTGCTTGCTTGTAGGGCTGCACAATATGGTCTGACATTTTGTGATTACATATCAATATGAGAATATAATAATAATAACAACAATAATAATAGTATAGTACTAGTATAAAAAATTATAATACAAATACATTTTTAAACAATTACTATTACATATGTAAAATGTACAATATATAATATATAAATATTTATGTGTATATATAGAGTACAATATAAATTGCTAGTAATTTTCACAAATAACTAAAAACGGCAAGTAACATGTAGAAAGACTGAAACAGTATTTTCAAAAACTTCAAAAAAAAATGTTAGTGTATATGAGAAAAATGATATATAATAATAATAGTAGTGGTAGTATTATACAAATTAAATTAATACAATTTAAAAATCACTATTTGAATAATATATATGTGTGTGTATATAAATATAAATATATA